CCTCTAACTGTTGTTAAGGTATCAATCTAATTAAGTCCCCCGGCCCATTGAAAGTGTGGTGTTGTTTCTTAATTTAAACTTTTGATCCTTTTTCTTAATTTATATAAAAATTATTTTTCCGTTTACAGTTAGGTATGGGTAGTGCAGTGGAAACATTATGTGGACAAGCATATGGAGCCCACCGATACGAAATGCTTGGGATATACCTCCAAAGAGCAACGATCGTCCTCGCTCTAGTTGGTTTGCCCATGACATTACTATACGCCTTCTCGTACCCGATTCTACTTTTACTAGGGGAGCCCAAAACGGTGTCGTACATGGCATCTTTGTATATCGTCGGACTCATTCCTCAAATCTTCGCTTACGCTATTAACTTTACGGCCCAAAAGTTTCTTCAGGCCCAAAGCGTTGTGATCCCAAGCGCGTATATCTCAGGAACCGTTTTTCTTTTACAGATTTTGCTGACGTGGACTGCTGTTTACGTAATGGGCTTGGGCCTTATGGGTATTGCTTATGTTTTAACCATCTCGTGGTGGGTTATTGTTGGGGCTCAATGTTTGTATATTACATGGAGTCCGAGGTTTAGACACACGTGGACTGGTTTTGATTGGAGAGCGTTCCGAGGTCTTTGGAGCTTCTTTAATCTATCAGTTGGATCTGGTGTTATGATCTGTTTGGAAATGTGGTATTCGCAGATTTTGGTTCTTCTTGCTGGTTTACTCAAACAACCTGCTCTCTCTCTAAATTCTCTCTCCATCTGGTAAGTCCTTGAAACTAAATGTATATTTTGATTTTTCAGTACTGTTTGGATTGTTTTCGGCTAAGGTCGACACTATTTTTGGATATACTCTATCAACAAAAAAAGAACGCAAAAGAAAAAAAAAGAAGTAAATTTTGCGTTTTTGTGATACATCACCGGAAAGCCTCTATCTGATTAGATAATATAAGAAATTGGTTTAAGATATGTAGGGTTTTGTATCATTGTTGTTGTGCCACTATCTAAAGTCAAATCTGCATATTGCATGTTGTTATGTTGTTGACAAAGAAAAATGATATGAGAAATAGAGTAAGGGTAAGGGACTCATTTTCTATCATATTAATGAAAGATATGATTGATAACAGATAATACAAATATATTCATTTTAGAAGAATTTTCTAAAATACCACACTTTGAAGTTTTGTTTCTACACATATCATCAAAAAATTTGCAATCCAAAAATACCACTAAAAGTTTTGATTTTCCAAAAAGATACTACGAATGCAAGAGTGATTTAAAATTTTTGGGTTTAAGATTTGGTTTTAAAAGTTTAAAGTTTAGTTTTACTTTTATGTTATTTTTGGAAAACTAAAAATTTTGCCGATATTTTAAAAATATAAAACTTTTGATGGTATGTATGAAAACAAAACTTCAAAATGTGGTATTTTTAAGAATTAGCTTCAG